AAGAAGATACTATTAATAAATCATTAAAAGTAAATAGAAGTATTCATAAAATTAAAGAAAACTACTCAATATTTATAGATCTTATAGTAGGTTTTAAAGATGATCAAATTTTCAAACTCAGAGTTTATTCAAATATGATAAAGCTCTTGCTGAATGTTCAGCTTTGTAAAGTATTTTACTTTATTAAGTTAGTTCATCAGCTCATCTATTAAAGGCAAGAAATGTAATCTCATTTAATTATAGTATTTAACTTATGAAAATCAATGCAGAATTATAGCTTCTTCTTATTGCAAATAATCAAAATTGAGAAGGCATAAAGAACTGAACTTACTATAACAAAATCTTTTACTAGATTAACTTCAAGATAGATCTTTACCACTTCTAGCTTCTTCAGATTTATCTTATATAGAGATGCATATCTGATGTCCTGGATGAGATCAGTATTAAACTGAAGCTCTATCTTAGAATTAACACTTTTATATAAAGAAGATAATTTATCTAATACTTTCTTTAAGAAATAGTTCTTTCAGCTCTTTAGTCATTCTGATAAGTGACTAATTAGTTTCTTATTAGATTTCTCATTTACTTTTATTAAACCTCATCTCTCTTCAAACTATTTATCAATTTCATGCAGATTCATTATAAAAACTATTGAGTTCTTGTTTTTTATATACTTATAAAAGAAGACAGCTTTAATGAAGTTCATATTCATTGTCTATGATGCTGCCTTCTTCAAGACCAGTTTCTGCCTTGTCTCAGACATCATAACTGAGTAGATTTTTTTCAATCTTCAGAGCTGAGTCTGATGCTTTTATCTGATCTTTTTGTTTAGTTTGATTTCTCTTTATTTCATATTCATCTGATACTTAGACTTAGAGTCTGAATACTTTAGTATTGATTGAGATACTATCTTCAACATCAGCTCTGCTATCTGTTCAGAGATAGACTATTCACTTAGTTAAATCAGATATTGATTTTTAACATCAAATCATATGTCCTGTGTCATCAGCCACTTTCATACTAGGATGACAGAGTACTGATCTAGATTTATCATCAGCAAAGAGATATTTTGAAATTTCCAGCCATTCACTCAGAGATTTAAAGTCAACGTGTGATCTATCATCTCATCAGAGGTGTCATTATATCTCTTTATGCAGTATTTAAATAAGAGTTCTTGATACTTTCTATCAAAAAATCTTATCAATTCTATGATATATTAGATATCAATAAAATTCACACTATTTGCTTTAGTATCAGCAAGAGAATTTATAGAAGTAGCAATTTTATTAAAGACTAACTTGATTAATACATTAAAATTTTTCTCTCAATCAAGTTCTTCATATCAAACCTCTTATAAACTATTGAGCTATCTGAGATAAAGTCTTCTTTCAGACTTACTCTTTTCTTAAATCTGTTGAAAACTCAGAGATATTATTCTATGAGCTCAGTAATCATCTATTGAAACTTCTGCTTTGCAGAACAGTTTCTGATGATATAATCTTTTTCCTTACAATAGTAGCATTAAATATCTAAATGAGAGCTTAAGATCTTCTTCATGATAGAGAATTATGAGATAGAGATGTTGATAAATGTTTAGCTGTTAACAGTTCACAAAATGTTCTGCTTGAAGATATTAGATTCATTTCTCTGCAAGCTTTTTGATTTTTAAATGATATTGATTATCTGAAAGATGTGAGCTGCCTATATATAGATTTTCTGAAACTTAGTATATGTATCAGTGATTGCATTGATTATCACTATTATCCTTTGAAGATCAAAGAACGGTTTATCATTAAAGTCTATCTTATAGTCTCTTTTAATAACCTTGATCTCACTCATCAGATATAAGAATTATGTAATAAATTTATGATAATTATTCTCATTGTGCATAATCAGCTTGTGATAATCACTCTTGATATTTTGCAGCTCGTTAACATTTTCATATATTGACTTAAGATGCTTAAATATCTCTTTTGCAGTTTGATATCACTCAGAGTAGTTCTCTTTCATATGAGGTATAATATGATATACTATGTTCTCATTTATCTGATTTTCAATATATACAATCTTCATGTGTTCTGTAGAGTAGTGATCAGCATTCTCTCAGAGCTTGTTCTTTATATGAAAAAGCCAGTGCTCAAACTTTAACTTCTTATCATCAATGAGATGTTTTGGGTCATCAATCTTGATAGATCTCCTTGTGTTCTCTAAAAGAATGATGTTTTAACTTGTTGCTTGATTGTTAACTGTTATTTAAATTAAAATGTGATTAAGTTCATCATATTCTGCAATGAGCTCATTGATTTGACTCTGTTTGATAGCTGTCTGGGCTGCAGCATCATTCTGTTCCATTTGCAGATATGTGACTATATCTCTCAGTATTTTTTTATTATCAAAAATATTGTCAAAGATTACTACTAACTTGTTGCAATTATGATTTTTATCTAAGTAAATTATCTGTCTAAATTCCTCAAATGAGACCCACAGTTGATTGGTTGGCCTTGTTAAAACATATCACCAGTCCTTCTTGATCTCTTCAGAGGGCTGGAAGTCTGGGTGGTCATCCTGGTCTAGGTCTTTCTAATGACTAAGGGGGATAAGTTGCTGTTGTCTATTGCATTATCAAATTCTTGCTGAGCAAGTTCTACTCAATCCTGAGTAGAAAGGGTAGGAGGAAGCTTAGTATTATGTTAGAGTTCAAATGCAAGCTACATAAGAAGGAAACTATCTGCATTGCTAACTGCTATATAACAAAATACTAAGCTTGATGAGATGAAAGGGTGCTGGGGCCTGCCCAGGTTATAACGACCCGCATGGTCATGTGGTCACGTGATGAGGATTAGGCTCGGTCGGGCGCTGAGCCTAACAGATATGACTATAAAATTTAAAAATTAATGATTTTCTATTAGACATAACCTCTGTTGTCTCTCTTCAGTATATTGAATAATATTTATATTTCATCAAAGAGAAAAATAATGCAAAAAATTCTTATTTTAGTTTAAAATATACTTTATATGTTATAAAGTAATTTATAGAGTTAGGTCCAGCAGCTGTTATAATAGAGCTAGTGAAAGTAGCTATTTCTAGCTCATCTTTTATTAAGTCAAACCACTTTCACTTTGTTCTATCATTATAATATTCATTTATAGAAATGTATTTCTCAGATTCTATTGAATTTGAAAATAAAACTCTCATGAATATTTAATATTTTTCTTGAAATATATTAGCAGTATAATATTGATTTGATATTCATATTTTAATATAAAAAGCTTTACTACTCCTCTAGATTTAATATAATTAAAAGCTTTAAAAATATCTTTATTTTCTATATTTTCAAGAAAATCATTCCAGTATTTAGTTTTTGCTCTTTTGATACTAGAAAAGTAGTTGTTTTTAATGTCTTTATATGTGTTCAACAGTGCTGCCACTAGTAATATAGAATAAGATTGATCTGCTTCAAACTTTAATCATATTCAATTACTTAAATTGATTTACTTTAATTTTCAATCATCTATATATATTTAGTTGCTCATCTTATTTTCATATTCTAATTCTCAGTTTAGTGTTCTTATCACAGCTATTTAATTATATAGATAAATTGAGCTTTTGTTTTGTTATCATTATATTTTTAATTGAGTCATAACAATCAAAGTATTTTTCAATAATATTTAATAATTGTTAGGCTCAGCGCCCGACTGAGCCCGACCGAGGCCCGGCGCCCGATTAGGCCTAATCTTCGTCACGTGACCACATGACCATGCGGGTCGTTATAACCTGGGCAGGCCCCAGCACCCCCTTTTATTTCATCAAGCTTAGTATTTTGTTATATAGCAGTTAGCAATGCAGATAGTTTCCTTATGCAGCTCGCATTCGCACCCTAACAATATAGCTGAACTAAGTGTCAAAAGAAAGTGTGAGAAGCATTATAACTAATACTATAAAAGAGCAAAAATATAGACACTGTGAGCACTATGAGGAGAAGAAAATAGCAATGAATGAAAACATAGATATAGAATTAAATAGTAGCTAATCATTGAATCTCTTGAAGGAATTTGAGAATTCAGAGTGTTTATATATATGAATAAGTAGCAACAGATTTCACCTTTAATCTTTCATGAAATGAGAGATGTAGTGCTGATTCTATTCTTCAGTGAGTAGTAACAGATTTCATCTCTAATCTTTCATGAAATGAGAGTTTTGTGATATAAAGTGCTGATTCTAAATGCTGAAAGTGCTAATTCTTTATGAGATGCTTTAGTAAGCAGTGTGAGGGCAAGAAGCTAGTACAAAAGATCTTAACATCATCACATTTTAATCATTGAATACTAATCTTGATTTATATAAAAAAAATTTAATAATTAATATATATATATATATATATTTACTTATATGTTTTACTCAGTTATGAATTATATTAGTTATTATAATTTCTGAATTAAGTGAGCATTTTTTTATCTTCTTTAGTTAATCTCAAGAAATATCACTTTAAACTTTATGTATTTTAGTGCTGTTATGTAAATAATATTAAATCTTAGATATTAATTTCAAAACTGTTCTGACAAACACATTTGCTCATAAGTAACATAGTATGATGAAAAAGCTAAAGAATTAAGAGATAATCACTACATGTTGTATTGATATAGACTACAGAGTACTGTTGATTTGTCTGAAAACATCAGTCCACCAGCATGTTTGCATATGTTGTCACAAGCTAACTAGTTTGTTTTGTTCTCAGGTTGTTAAAAGAGGGAGATAGTAGTTAATTTTACCAAGTTCCCATATGCCCAGTTTCACTTGCTGTGGAATATCACAAACCTCGAATGAACCAAGCATTGATCATTTGAACAAACTTCAGAGCTCCGAGATCAAGTTATCAAGTAAGCCACAGCCATCAAATTTCGGATTCTTGACAGTTCCCCGGCAGACACTAACATCCAATGTCCCGAAATTTCCGTTTCCTTATCCCGAGATGCGAAACTCGTTGCTGCCAAAACTAGGATCTACACCTTCCATGAAATATCCAAAATACCTTTGGCATACAGTCCGGAAACCAGTAAATGCCCTCGTTTAGAGTCTAGGGCGCCCGTAGTGCTGGACATATATTGCTCTCCATTACCTGTTAGGATCGAGAGGATATTAGTGTTGGAAAAAAAGGAGAAAAAAGCTGTTAGCCAAGTAATTGAGAGAAACTTACTTTGATACAAAGTGAGAGAATACAACTCTCCCTGCCGGGGGCCGGCCGGGCACGGCGCTGGATCTGCCCCCGTGCCCCGACGTATCTCAGCCACCCAAGACGGCGCATTGGCACTTCCAGGGTTGCGGGACATTTTAAATATTTTTATCAAGGATGGATGGCCAGCAACGACTAGTCCCCGAAGAAATCTCCCTTCCGCGTCAAATACAGTTGGGTCAGAGATATCGAGAGAGTCATCAAAGTTGATATTATCGGGATGGAAATTCACCGGGATACTTTCCCGATCTTTAGATAGCAGATTGGTCTTGGGGTCTCGTTTATAAATGTAGAGGGCATCCGAGGAAGAAGAGGCGACAACAACTTCTTTGCCAGTTGGGGTTACCAGAATTCCGTTCGAGAAGGCAATGTTGTCGGCGACAATTGTGCATTTGAAATCATCAGGAAAAGAAAAGTCCACAAAGGTCACCCAAGTCCACGGTCTTGAGAAGAATGTTTCTATTTTACTTAGAATTGGACTTGTCCTCGCGATATAGCGATGATCGTTCGTGACATAGAACTGGGTGTAAGAAACTGGGGCAATGGAGTTGGGAGAAACGATAGTTTTATCGTTATCAGATATCGTTCGAATATACTTCGCCTGGTGTAAGTCATAGTTGACGTCGAATACCTCGACGGTGCTTCCTGTCCGCCGATGGTTGATAACAAAAAGCCGCGTTGAAGCATCTGGGGAGCTGCGGAAAATGTTCACTCCCAAAGGGTGAAAGTCAGCTTCTTCAGGAAAGTCGATCAGTTCGAGTTCTTTTGTTTTTCCTGTTGAGGCATAATCAAAGATCACCAGGCTTCCCTTTGGATCCGGATTCTTGAAGACTCCCTATGGAAATATTAATTTATACATTAAACGTTGAATAGACAGCGGTTAGAAATCTTTTACTTTAAAGGGAATTATTTACCATGACAGTATTCCATTCTGTTCTTCCCGGGTCAAAGCTGATTATGGCGATGGCGCGATCATGGTCAATGAGGATATCTTCCGTATTTTCGATAATATCAGTGAAGCGGATGTTAACGGAGCCGTCTTCAAATGGGTGCCATGCTGGTGGCAGATTGTAGAGCGTATCTAATTTGGACACGAGAGGTTTGTAGAATAACCCTGAAAGCGTTACTCCAACTAACGCTAAAACAGTTGTCTGATAATAAAAATTGTTAGAGAAAGGAGGGATGGTTCATGGTTGCCAGTGAGGGGTTCGGACAACTGAAAGCGAACCTTGCCAATGCCAGAGAGAACCATGATAGATTTTGGGAGATTTGAAGAGTTTCAAGTAGCCTTCCAAGTCTCGACAGGTTCAAAATGATAGATTTAGTCAACTACAATGTTGAGAGTGATGACTCGGGCTAAACTCGCTCGGACCGATTTTGTTTCCATGGGTGTAAGTAACTACATACAAAGATAACACCAGGTTCTAGTGGCCACTCATGAAAATTCTTGACCCACCAATTCAATGCGAATTCTTCACCATCTTTTCTAAATGAACTTTTCCATCTGAAATATCTATTAAAAAGCCACTAAAGAATTGGAAAATGACACTGTTTCTTCTGCTAAAGCTGTAGCTGCAGCTTGGCAATCTCTCATAAATTATTTTATATTACTAATTAGTTAACGGAATTTAACTGGCTGTGATAGAGCTTATCAATAGCAGCAAAAATTAAACTCTAAACAAAAAAAAAAAAAATTTCAATTCAATGAATATTGAACATGTTTAAATCTATTTTATCTCTTTTATATGAGAAATAATCTTTTAAATTTAATTATAATTTTATAATTTATTTAATAAAATATAAATATAAAATATAAATAAATAATAATATAAAAGTTTAATTTTTAATTTTTAATTTTTAATTTTTAATTTTAAATTATATAAAAACTATTATTTAATTAAATTTTAAATATAAAATAAAAACTTTTAATTTTTATATATAGATAAATATATAGATTTTATAATATAATAATTACTTTTTTATTATAAAGAGCTATGCTCACCTTCGTGATAATCAGGCTACGCCTTCGCGCTATTGAGACACTATTGAAATGGTTCTATTGAGACGGTGCTGTCAAGGCGGCGCCTCCACCTTATGTGTATGACTTCTATTATCAAGGCGTGGGTTCAACATCTTCGTGCTGAAGCTCTACTTTTCATAAAAGAAAGTTCAATCTCTCTTACATGATCTGTCCTTTTTTTTTCTTAATGACTTTCTGTTTTCATACACATTAGTTATTAGCTATGTTCTCAGTAGCTAGTCTGTTATATTTATATCATTAAAGATATATTTATTAAAAAATATTTAATAATTTTTAAATAAAAAAGAAAATAAAAAGTTTTATATATTTTCAAAGTAGAAAAAAATACAAATATAAATTATTAATTTTGAAAAATATCAATTAAATTAAATAATTGTTGATATACTTTCTATAATTTAAATTTAATTTTATACTATTTTTTTAAATCATTTTCTTTATAACTAACTATATTTAAATTCTCACAAAACAATTAAAGTTCACAAATATTTTCATAACTTGAAAAAATAAAAAACTTAAACAAAAATAAAACACATATCATAACAAGTATAATTTTCTTAAATGTTCAAAAATTAATAAAAAAATTAATAACTATTTTCAAGTCATTGAGATTCATTCATATATATCAATGTATAATTGAGTGAATGCAATATATAAAACTTAGCAATTCAGCATGTTCAGTAAGCATTGTACAATAATATCAACAAGCAGGCGATTAAGGTTTGCTGAGCTGCTCTTTTCGGAAAAACGTATAAAATCCGGCACTGAGAAACAAGTTAGGACGAACACTTCACGCAACTTCTCACAAAGGGACAAAAACATACCATATAGCCAGCTGGAAAAATAGGCATATCCAGAACCAGGCAGTCCAAACAGCACTGATTCCTCCAGATATATCAGGATGAATATCACCTGGTCCAATCTTGTTAGGTGAGAAGGTACGAGCGCAGATAGTTGCGATGGAGCCAAGAGCTTGGGCTGCAAGCAGGGTAAAGCAGATGTGGAAACGAGTTAGCGTTTGCAAGAGGATCATGCCGAATCCGACTCCTTGCATTGCATCCAGAACTCCCAGCCAAAGCCACAGGCTTCTGGATACTAGTGCTCCAGCTACGTAGCCGTGCGCCCAGGGAACATGCTGGCCAATTCCACTGGTGCCCCACCAGATCTGTGCCCATCGAGGTGCCCCTGAAGAAGCTGTTAGTGATGCACCTAAATTATGATACGACACAATATTGGGCATTCGCATACCAAGTCCAATTGCAAACAACGGCATTATCCAGCTGTGGTCCTTCGACAGGTAACTCAAGAAGCCTGTACCAACAGTTAGCGACGTTTTATTAATGAACGGAAGTATTGCCATACCAAGCAAAACTACCCAGACCACCACGAAAAACAGGAAGACGAGAAGCACTATATGCCACGGCTTCGCATGCTTGGAACTCCAAAGGACTAAGATAATATGAGAGATACAATTAGTAATTTAGGTCTAATGAAACCTCGCCTGCAATGCGGAGGGCATGGTAACTTACAGGACCAATTTCGACCATATGGAGCACTGAGGAAAAAATTCTGAATGGCCACGGTAACGAAAAACCAGGTCACAATTCTGCGACGAAGGAGGGATTTGTAAAATGATGGGACCTTTCCTGGAATTTGACGATAGAAAGTGGGAAGTCCAAAGAACAAAAGAAGCCCAATTGCCCAAAGGAACAACCCAATTGGACCAGCAATTGCACTGCATATTCCGTTAGCAGCAATTCAACCGTCTGCTTTCCCAGCAAACTTTGATAGAAGACATATACTTACGTCATCTTCCATGTCCTCGCGATTGGGGCAACGTCAACAACACCTTCAGCGATACTCTTAGTCAATGTTGAGCCCCAATACCAGAGAGCAACTACGTATATCTGCTGAGTGCCTTGTATCACACAAGCACGGAATACCCAGTCTTTCACAGGAGCTCTGGTCTCATCACCGAAGTTTAGTCCAAAGAAGATAGAGCCGCTCGATGATGCCGTCGCGTATAATGCGGATGCGACGTTCTGGACCCAACCAACACCGTAACTTGTAGGAGCATAATGAGCAAATCCGATGAAAATGAAAGCCAGGCCATAAAAGAAGAAGGGGAGAGACAGAGAGACAATGGGTTTAAACCAGCGGAAGATAAACCACCAAATAATGGAGGAGATGAGGTACGTTGTCGCGATACCATAGAGTTTCGTAGCGGTCTGACCAACTTCGCCCGTAAGCAGTGTGATCTGGTACGAGTTCGCCGCGATAATCTGGCCAAAGGCAAGGAAAAATGAATAAATGGGCCAGTCGCCGATTCGGAGTTGCATCCATTTCCTAAGGCCAGTAGGAGGCACATAATCTCTACCCAGTAGGAATTCATCGCAGTCTTTCCCACAATCGCTCTCCCGGGAGTCAATATCTTCACCATATTCAGACGGAGCGGGCGAGACGCCAACGCGTTTGACACGGAAAATTGACGAAGGTTTATCCTGCTTGCGACCTAAACGGGCATCCCTAAAGCGATTGTACCATTTCTTTTCGCTTTTCACCAGGTACTCTTCAATGCATAGATCGGACTCTGAGTTGTGCCCATTCAGCTCCTCCAATTTCTTATCAAAAGCTCTATAGAACTCCCCGTTGCTATCGGTAAAGAATGGGTCCACTTTTTGGAGCTTGAAATCAGTCTTCCCACCAACAACCGATCCCAAAGAGAGAGACGAGACAGAGCTGAGACGGTTTCCAGAATCAGCGAATGGACGAGAAGGTAAGATGAAGCTTTCTCGGGCAGTAGGCGACGGAGGCCCCATGGAATAGAGAGGCTTTGGCTCATTGAGGTTTGGAGGACATAATTGGTTTCCTTGCCCCGACTCTCCATGTTCTTGGTTCAGCGTGTATTCATCGTCGCCAAAAAATGTTGCAAGAGTGTCATCGTCGCTTTCATCCTCGACGTCAGTTGCCCCTGGCATGCCAGGACGCTCAAATTCATGTTCAGGTACATTCTCGGTTGATTCCGTTGCGACTCCGTTCTTTCGCAAGTTCCGGCGACCGCGACCTGTAGCAACTTCAGAATGGCCCGGGCCAGATCGCACACCAAGGGATACCTTGCTGCCGAGACCTTGTGGTGTAATTTCATTTTCAATATCAGGTCCAGGACTAACATCTCTGCCATAAACGACAGGATTTTTCGATTGTAGGCCAACAACGCTCATTCTCTGCGGACTTGAATAACTGGGATTTCGAGATCGAGACAGCTGAGTGTTAGGAGTCATGCTTCCAGGCCCAATTGGAGAAGCCATTATGCCCGGAGTATTGTATCCAGATGGAGTCATAGCCTGACCGGTTGACTTGGAGCTTTCCTTGTTATGAACCCTAATTGCTGTGCTCTGGAGAATCTCTAGGTCCTCGATCCACTGTGCGACGGGGAACCTCTGTTTCGCAGACCTAGCACGCATCATTGCTCTCACCTCGGGTTTCGAGTTCAACGCACTGTCTATAGCCAGTTTAAACTGGTTGAGAAGGTGGCTGGTGGTTGTAGATTCAACAGTATACCACCAGCCCGGCATTTGCCCTAACCCGCCAACCCTAGCGCCGATACCGAGAGCGCCTTTTCGACCGAACTCGACAGCCACCAATCCAAAAGGTTCATCCCTAGACGGAATCAAAGCAAATTCGGCCCCGCTGAAAATATACGGTGGAAGAGCTGTGAACTCCGGTTTAGAAAAAACACGCCCGGGATAAAGCTTCATCATCTTGTCGAGTTTCAAAGCTGCAAACTTTCCATAAAGGTCGATCACCGGGCCGACACATATCAATTGAACATTCTTACGAGCTTCAAGGACAGCTGGGAAGACATCTGCGATGAGATCTACTCCTTTCTGCATAGACCACCGGCCCACAAACACGAGCAAGTCTGCATCGGGATTTTGGTCAAGGCCTGCCCATTCCTGCGCTTGGCGTTTGAGCTCCGCTCGATTGGCTTCAAATTCTGGATCCACACTAATATCGGACTCCTTCGGCAACTCTTTATTCCATTCACCAGTGTCTGAGGGGTCAGGATTTGGTAGTTGACCGACTTTCTTCAGACCCCAAAATATTGGAAAGCGGGTGAAGGAGCGTTTGCTGTATTTCTTGGAAACACCCACTGCTCCGAAGCCTTGTTGGTGGAGACGGAGGTAACTAGCACCAGCATGCAGCAAGTTGAA